CCTCACCTCTGTCCAAGAACTTTTCCAGAGCTGCTGCAGGAGCAGGACACTGAACATTGTCAGGGACTCCTCACACCCTCTCCAAGAACTGTTTGAACTGCTACCATCAGGCAAACGTTTCTGAAGCACTAAAGGAAGAACCTCCAGACTGATCCACAGCTTCATTCCACAAGCTGCCAAAATGCTGAACTGCTGATCCAGATATGCAAACACTTCTTTATTTAAATTGCTTTTAGTTTTTGGATCCTGAAGAAACGCTCTCTCATCTTGCCTGTACTACTGTGTATGTACAGCAAAATGACAATAAACTTGATTTGATTTGTCAAAAGCAGTTTAAAAGCAACTGAAAATAGCACATTTGGAACATGGTGGTTGGTGTTGGTACTGAATCTCATCTGACGGGCCCATGTTGGTACGTCTGACAAAAAGTGTTGGAAATCACCTTCTCATACGACTCTCAGTTATTTCTCCTAAACCCCAAACATATTGCAGACACAAAACTTGTCCTTGCTTTAAGTCCTGCTAACAAGGAAACACCAGTGTGGGTATAGGTTGTGCATTTAAAGTCAGAAGTTACATATTTATAGCGTTCTTCCATATCAATAATCCCCTCCTGCCTTAAAAGAATTAGATGTAACTCTATGCTGTTACTTCCTTTAGAATGTACAGATCTATGAATTTCCCGCCCCTCACTCCACCCATCTTGCTGTATCTTGAGCACACCAGCTCAGCTATGACTCTGTTCAGAAACTGAAACTCTACACAATGACAAGTTGTAATATTGAAGTAATTTGCCATACATGCTCAAACTAGAAACCCATTCTGAAGAAGATAAATTATACAGAAAACCCCACACGACAAGTTGACAGGATCAGTTCCTTGGAGTTGCATATGAGTAATGCATCTTGTGCTAATCTCACATATGTCTGTGTTCTTTGGGCAGTTTAGTAAGAGCACCAAGTCCCTGCGAGGAGAGATTTTGGACAATCTGGCACCTGGTAGACAATACTGTGTCTCAGTCCGCTTCTCAGACCGGCTGGAGGACAAGGAGTCCAACTTCAGCAAACCTGTGTGTGCTGTCACCCCTGGAGTCTTTTCTGCAGGTATAAATCGTGCGTGTGCGTTTGTCTCGCTCATCTGTTTTTCAAAACGCTCAAGATTTTAAAGGCCTTGTACAACCACAATGATGTTTTCAGTTGCCCTCACTGATGAAGCCTTCCGTCACACAAGATTTGCTTTTGTGCATGCTGTTCATAGAGGTTGGTGTGTGGAATGTCTTTGACACTGTCTGAGCTGCAACAGAAATTTCTGTTTTTATTGATAACGCCTGTGCCAGATCTCAAGCACATGTCCATCTGTTTCTCAGTGCACTGTCTGTGGCGTCATATTTGGAGGACAGCCACTGCAGCTCTGACTAGTGGTCCAACGGCTAATTCTGCATCTTCTGATTACTGCTGTAACTGTGTCTTCACTAAATTTTAGTAGGTCATTGAGCTTCCTCTATTCCTCTATTTCACCTTTGTGAAGTCTCACAGTTTGATTTTTCTGCTCCTCTGGCAATTCTTTTCCATGTGGAGCCATTATACACATGCAAGCAGTCCATAGGTCCACAACTGATGAATGTCTTCTATTTACAGGTCATTTTATAACAATGTTCAGGCAGTGAGGCTGATTGGAAATCACAGGTGTACTTAATTTAGTTTCAGTGGTCACAGATTCTGTAACTTGTATGTCCAGGTGTATTCACTTCTGTTGCATTGAGTTTTAACTTTGGTGCTTTTTAACATGGTCTTGAAGAGTTTTTTTGTTTTGTTTTGTTTTTTTGTTTTTTTTAATTGTTCATAAGAGGAAGTACTTGTCAACTTAAAAATACTGCAGTTATTCAGCGGCGATGCAATTTCGATTGATTTAACATTTAAGTGATATTGGACAGGGATTTATTCATTTAAGCTGTATACTATAAAGCACCACCAGATCCTCTTATTGTTTCTTCTCTGCTGTGCCCAGTTCATCTAAAAAAAGCAGAGGACAGTAACGGTTCCTTAGCTATGGAGAAAGAGAATGTTATGATGTTTTTGATCTGATTCCTTGGGTTTAAATTGTGTCTAAACTTGTTTCTGTTTAAATTTAGTGTTCTTTCCACAGCATCTGCTGTGCACATGTACACTACTCCATTGTTTCCAGCTTTGGAATAAGCAGCAGTGATATCAGTCGTTACTTGTCTCTGATGTGTGCCTCAGTGTTGGAGAGGACAAAAATACAGTTGTGACTCAATAATCCGACCCTTAACAATCCAAAACCTTGCTATCTGCCAGGTTTTTAGGAAAAACGAACAGAACCCATGAAACAGCCTTAATATACCGACAGCCTTGGATTCTGACTCCAACATGACATTTTATGTCACCAATCAGGATAACGGCGTATTATCTGACTGAACAATCCTACAGATTTACTTGCTTTTAATGCCAACCGACGGGTCCGTGCACAAGCGCACCAGCCAGTTAGGCGTGAAACCCAGCAATGCGTAATGTTCTAACAATACACTCGTCCCACTCACTGAGTGAGTTTGCCCAACTAATGAAATTAATTTGCATCAGTTTGCTAGTGAACAACTCTACATGTGTGGAACACAGGAAGGATAAGTTTGGTGCTATGAAGTTCTTTGAAGTATTAAACAATGTGACATGTTTTGACACTTGAACAACTCTATGAACCCATATATACTGCGGTTGTATCAGGCTTATCAATCAGAGAAACAAATTGCTTCATTCAAGAAGTCACAGACCAAATCGTGCACCGTCATGGAGCGACCGACCAGCGAAAACGGTCAGAGATAACAGTCGTAGTGAAAAAAGCTCTGTGTCAGTACAAACTAGAGCATCCGAAATGTTCCCACGTCAGACTGGTACAGTTAATCAAAGACACCTATTCTGTGACAATTGGCCGACCAATATCATATACGTAGATAGTTTACTATAACAACGGTAAACAATAATTATGAACAACAAATGACCCTTCAAGCATCAAGCCCTCCTTGTATCTCAACCTCCGTCTTGACAAACCAACAGCCTTGCTGTCTGACATAAAAGAAGGTTTTACATTTAGTGTCGGATTATTGAGTCACGACTGATTGCTTTCTCTGACGGAGTTTCAAATGTAAATGGTTTTAACCACTGCCACCCTACCTACTGGTTGTCAGTATTGGTGAAGATGAAGAAAATCTCTCTGGATTTATGTGTGAATAATATATCCTCTTTGCAGACCCACTGATCTCAGCCGTGTTGTGCTTGTCGGTGATAGCTGGTGTGGTTGTTGTTGCCCTGCTGGTTGGTACTGGTTTCATCTGTTTGAAAAGAAAGACACTGCCGTCGGGCCTGGTAAGTACTGCTTAGATTTGATTGCTGTGTAGAAAATAACTGGTGGTATGCAGGTTTAAGTGTTTGTCAGATATATTTTTATTGTATTTTTATAGAAAATGTGTCAGTTGTTTGTGCTAGAAAATATGGCACAGTAGTTCTATTTCCAAATATAATGTGAATCTTTAATAATCCATACAGTCAAAGCTGTCTGGGAATCGCTGCATTTTTTATTGCTGTGATTACTAATACTGGAAAGACAATTTAAAATATTTTCCATGTAAACAGTTGAGGACAGTACTGGCAGAAAAAAAATATTAGAGAGAATGTTGTAGTGCTCAAATATTGAATAGATCCAAACATACTGGCAACGTCAGCTGTTCAAATGACAGTGGCACTTAGTTACTGGGATGTCTGAGGACCTGTGACTTTAGCAGCTAGTTACAGATTTTAATGTAGCACCAACATAGCTAATGTACCATGAGCATTAAAGCACACTTATTGCTATTCCTCCAGCCTATTCTCATTATAGATTCTTTTAACATGATTTTTGGCACCTAACTTGTCCTGCAGCTTTGAGAAAACCCTAACCCTAACCCAAATCGTGCGGCTCAAACGTTAATAGTGTGTTATGTCTTTTGGTGGTAGCGATTTGTCATACGCTTTTTACAAATCTGTTAAAAATTCCTGTTGAAATGAATGGGAGGTCAGCTGGACAACCACCAAAACCCAGCCGTCTGTGGAACCCAGTATCTCTGGCCATATTTCACAGCAGAAACTTCAGTCAGAGTTGAAACGGGTCACAAGGATTTAAATGTGCTTCATTTAAATGTGTTTTGATATCTTATACAGTTTTTACACAGATGTTTTATTTATTTATTTATTTATTTGAAAAGCCTGAATTTTTCTTCAGCCACTCTAAATTTTGACCAGAAAAAAAAAATCATGAAATAATTACAGTTAACTTTGTTTCCTTCGTAGAATTTCTCCTGGACATGAACAGTTTGCATATAAAATTTAAGTATTTTTGTTGTCTTTCACCCAGAGTCTCATTGCTGTAGGACTTAAGCTTTTTTCATAAATTACCTCAGAGCAAAGAGTGTGCCAACCAAAACTTTCATTCACTCCCATTATATTGGAGCTCTGAAATGTCGGGTGAAAATTGGAATCAGTGAGTCTCTCTAACCTGCCACCAAATCTATATAATATACAGGACCTGAATAAAAATACATCAGCGTGTTCAAAACAAGATTGTGCTTCACAAGGTGAAAGAATGTTT